GCTAACACACGAAACGTCAGCTTTGAAACTCTTTACGGTGGCCACCACAGTTTCTCTAGAATATTACCCCCTTCGTTCATTTGTACCTTACCCTACTTATCATTTTGTGTTCAGCTCACACCATCACAATGAAAGCCTCTCAGTTAGTTTATCGCAAGCACATAAAAAAAAGTTTAATGAGAGCAACTTCAAAGCTATTGAAAATAAGTAACAAAGGAACTGCAGGTAATTTAGTGTTAACAACTAAGTTGAAAACGTAAATTGGCCACCGTAAGGAGTAAAAAAGCTCACGTTTCGAGCGTTATCCCTTCGTCAGATCAATTAGTCAGCACTCTTCGCTAATCGCTCTGACAAAGGGCTAACGCTCGAAACTTCAGCTTTTTTCCTCCTTACGGTGGCCAATTTTGGTTTTCAACTTATATTTAACACTTAATTACCTGCTATACTCTCCCACCGACGCAGGACCACAGTTTCTTTAGAAAATACCCCTTTTAATAAAGGAGCTGTTGGCAAAATATCCCTTTTATCCTATTTCTTTTCAAATTAAAGGGATCTCTTCAGACGGATCTTTTAAATATTAAATAGAGACCTTCCATTCTAGCTTATCTGAAAGGTTCAAGCAGGTTACAAAGACTAAAATATTTCTATCCCAATTGTTTTTCTCTTCAAAGTAGATGTTATTTCATAACATGTTGTTTAAAATTACGCCAAATGTTAACCACATAGTGCTGGAGGTGCTGACTAGGAGTTCAGCGAATAATTTTTACAAACAAAGGTAAGAATTAACAAGAGGCAAAATTGCCAGGTGCCAAGCGCATTGAGATTGGGAGTCTTTGGCTGGATCAGAGTCAAAAATCAAATTACGCAACGAGTCTAACTAATATCCTAAGCATCCTAATTTTGGCTGAGGAAACTTCTTGACCTACCTATCTGCTTAAACATGTACGTACTAATATTATTCTTGATCAGTGTCACTGCTTATGCAACAAGTCGCATTTCAAACAGGTTTCCCAGATTTCAAGCCGCTAATTTTGGCGAGATGATGCCAGGGCTGGACCAAGTTTCCAGGCTTGCATTAGCAGTGGGAAGTTCCATGGGATTATTTGACCGACAATGCCGACGGGTTCATGGCGGGTATAGGTTAAGGAACTGCCATCTGTTGAGTGAATTAAACGATTCGTAACAATGAAAATATTACGATCAGCATCAAATGATAGAACACATTTCTTTGCTACCAGGTAAAACGTTTGAAAAGGTTTGTAGGGGTAATATAAGGAAGAGGTCCACAAACTTGATGTTCGCCTCTTGTTATCACCCTATGGGTAGAGCTGGGTGTTCAATGGAGGTTAGGCAGAAGCAAGCAGCAGGAAGCAAATAACTGGCATCAAAGATGATCAATTTTTTGAGAGTTAACCAACATCATTTCACAATGAACACTTCAACAGATGTTAAATTGACATAAAATGCAAACACATTGATATCAATTATCTACTGAAGCTCCACAGGGTGTAGAATGAATAAAAGACGACTGGACACATATTTACAGCGCTACTGTTTTATGAGAGCATAAGTGAGCCTGTCTAAGATAAGCCAGTCTGTTTCGTTAGTGCACCACGTGCCTGTCTTTCAAAAAGTAACTACAGGCATAATGCCTTAAAGCTGGGTTTCCAAGAGAATCACAACCAAGGAATGAACAAGCCTTACTGGAGGAGCTGACTATTATAGTAAAAGCTTAAAGAATTCTTGGTCACCAAAGACAACATGTGGTCATGTGGTTGCTAACTCGTTAAAATGAATATGCAAAATTCCATTCAGTTTATTTGCTTTCCATAACTTGAAAGTAATAAACTTATCAATAGGAATTGTCTTGCCATGAATTTTGTCTGCCCACCCAGCATAGTATCGATAGCACTTATGGAAAAATCAATATTGAAAGAATCATTGAATGGCTTGCCATTGTCCAAAGTCTCTTATTTAGTACTTTATGACTGAATTGACAAAATGTACAAGGTTTTACACTCTGAGAACAACCAATGTTGTGACTACGTTTTTCTTTTTACAGTCAGAGTTTGAACACCCACAGAATGATTTAATATATATGTTCTAATGCAACAAAATGAGGCTGGCTTTCTTAACAAGCTAACTAAAACAAATCAAGAATGCCTCCTGACTAGCTACTCTAGCTTACAAGATTACATATAATTGAAAATATGCAAACAAATAAGACAAAAATTGCCTCTATTTCACTTTGAAGTACAGCAGACATGCTTTACCCTTCATGTAGTCATCAGGCTAAAATATATCACAAATCATTCATTCCCTTCATTAATTTTGGTCAAGATGGCTTTATTTAATTTCTTCTTTTTCTTTTTTTTTGCATTTGTTCATGGAAAGTTTATATCATAATAACAGTTTTGATTGACTCTAGTAATTGAATAAAAGGAAAGAACTTACATTGTATCTCTAAAGTTTAGGACTATGATTGCTAATAATTTCACTTTTACTCCAACAAAATGTTAATACTTACTGCAAGATAAGCTTAATGTTGTTCGAGCAAATCAGCCAGTCTGTTCAAAAGCTTTCCACATCCTGATACATCCATTGTTCTCCAAGGACTGCCTAGCTTAAAGGCCTCTTTGGCTGCCTTAACAGCAATATCAACATCTGCCTAAAGAACATATTGGTTATTAGCACTTCCACATGCCTCACCTACATAAGCAAGATTCCAGCATTTTGCAAATCTATCTCCCACAAGTCCATACATGTAAATCGCATTTTGTTTGTTCCCATGCTGATAATTTGTAAAACATTTTATCTGTTTAGACTAAATTAAAATCCCTTCTGATCAAAAGTTTTTGCAATAAGCAGACAAGTGATGAGAATAAAGTAAAATATCAATTATGGGATTACTACTTGATCCCATACCAAATTCTTCAAATTGACATCATTATAATTGTATGGAAGACAGTAAGGAGAATTACATTGAGATCTTGGGAGTTAATGGCCAAAAATCTTTGGGAAAACCATATTCTTACTACTTATGATTAATAAATGTCTGTGTTTACCTTTATCTGAAAACTATACTCTGACTGCTTCCATCGTGAAAACAAGATAGCAAATGCTTACACAAACACTTAAAAAAGCTTTAGCAAAGTGTCACAGTGGATGTGAATTTTTCAAAATGATTTACCTGATTGTACTTCACTTCAGGACTGTCATCAATCTTACACTGTCAAATAAAAAAAGACCCATGTCAGACAACTGTCATATTTATCCTGATATTTTACAAATTTTAATTACTATCAAAAAATGGAAGTTGATCAGATATGAAATCACTACACATAAAGGGATTACATTGTGCATTTATCTAAAGATAACAGGGCTGTGCCAGACTTCAGAACAAGATGAGGCAAGTTTCAAGCGCTGAAGGTGCAAGTCACTATGGGAGTCTGGCATACCCCTCCAGAAAATTAATTTTCAAAGCTGGAGGCTCAGAAATGCTCTTTTAAGCATTTTCCATGGCATTTTTCTCCAGAAAAGTCAATCTTGGGCCAAAATCAAGACAAGGCCTCGTCTTGCCTCATGCTAACTATGGCCCTGGATAATTATAATGCAATTATGGGGTTTACTTGCATTTCTACATTAGTTTGCTTTCATGACTTTTTCCAAAACCTCGAGATGACCTTTACCTCACAGAATTAGTGTGCTCCAATCAACAAATATAAAAGAACAATGCACATTGCCTATTTTAAATATTACAGTTGACGCCATGTGGTATATATAGTTAATATACTTAGCTTTCCTTTTCTGCTCATGTACAATCATATTACTGGAGAGAAAAACTTAACTTGACTCCAGAAAAGTCAATCTTGGGCCAAAATCAAGACGAAGCAATTGCCTCGTCTTTTTTTAAAATTTTTATTTTTATTTATTTATTTTTTATTTATTCCTCCAATTCCTAGCTGATACATAGTTATGTAAATATAACATGATATAACATAGTATCAGATAAAGATTTACAAAGGAAAAAATGCGTATAACAGAAATTACAACACTTAAATTGAATTACATTGTATATTGAAGGAGAGGAGAGGGACACATCTAGAAAAACTAATATTGTGCCCCTTAAAGTTATGTATAACAAAGGACTCGAGATTTTTAATAAAAAAGTAAAGGAAAAATGACAAATAGCTCAGAAAATTATAAAAGAGATAATGTTTCATTAGTATTGTGCTAGGTACCAGCCCAAAAGTGCTTTCTAAACATTTTTTTAGATGGTTTATCTCTAATGGATTGCGGAATATCATTCCAAAAGAAACTTCCAATGATGCTGGGGCCAAATCTCCTAAGACTAGTTCGAAATAAAGGTATTGCAACTTGATTGGATGATGCACTGTGGGTAGTGTAATTATGTAGTTCAGATACTAACAAAACCTACTTTACTTTTACTTTCATGAAAAGTTTCTTAGTGTAAACTTTTCATGGTGGAAATAATCATAAAAAAGCATACATGTGTTCAGTTTAACAATATCAGGAAATTTCAAAAGGCCTAAGGATGTGTAGTGTGGATTTATTGATTCCATTAAAGGAACATCATTTATAACATGAACTGCTTTGTTTTGTAACTTTATGATTTGAGACAATGGAGCATTATAATTATTTCCCCAAAGTGTACAAGCATAAGTAAGGTAAGGATAAATAAGAGAATAATACACACTTATAAGCATTGCTTTTGATATATAATGCTTCAACTTAACCATTATATTTATATTTTTGGTCATTTTGCCACATATGTAGTCAATATGGTCGTGCCAAGTAAGGTGACAATCAATATACACACCAAGATATTTTACACAAAAGGACTTTTCTAAATGAACATTTGCTACAGTTAATGGTGGATAAAGATTGTAGCTTTCCTTTTGACGAGGCATAAAAATGAGAAACTTAGTTTTTGTAAAATTTACAATCAATTTATTACTGCATAACCATTCGTAGACAGCTGGTAAATGATTGTTAATTTCACGCAATAAACTGTCAAGATCACTTCCAGAAGCAGTTGAAGATGTATCATCAGCATATAATCTAGTAGAAAAAAGGTGGAAGACTTTGGAAGGTTACTAATGAAAATAGTAAACAGCAAAGGTCCTAGTATCAATCCTTGAGGCACACCAGTGGAGATAAAACGTGTAACAGAAGCAACACCATTTGCATGCACCTGCTGTTTCCTGTTACTTAAGTAAAATTGAAACCAGTTGTATTCACTTTGTTGTAATCCATAAGTTTATTTAGTGATATTTGATGGTTTACTGTATCAAATGCTTTACTTAAATCTAAGAATAAAGAAACCACATAAAGTCCTTTATCAACAGAAGAAGTTATTTCTTCAGTAAGGTCAATTAGACAATCAAAGGTTGTAAAACCTGTTCTAAATCCATAATGTTTTGAGGAAATCATGTTATTATTCGTAAAATAGAACATCAGCTAATTAAAAATACATCTCTCAAATATTTTACTTATGGAAGAGAGAATTGAGATAGGTCAATAATTACTACATGCAAAACAAGAGCCTTGTTTAAAAACTGGAACAACTTTAGCACGTTTCATACTATCAGGAAAAATACCGTAGTTGATGGAAAGATTAAAAACAAATGTTAGGGGATGGTATATTTGAAGTGCTGCAGTTTTTAATAACAGTGGATGAATCTTATCAACCCTAATGACCTGTTTGTATCAAGACTTTCCAGTAATAAGAATACCTCTATTTCAGAGACTTGTGTGAAGCAAAATTGTTTTTGTTTCTGAGAGAGATAAGAGGTTGCACTCTTATCAGATTTAGGCCGTTGTTCGAAAACCTCCAGATGACCTTTACCTCACAGAATTAGTGTGCTCCAATCAACCATAATAAAAGAACGATGCGCATTGCCTATTTTAAATAGTACAGTTGACGCCAAGTGGTATATATAGTCAATATGCTCAACTTTCCTTTTCTGCTCATGTACATCACATTGCTAGAGAGAAAATTTTAGTCAGAGAACAAAATGTGGAAAATATCTAACAAAAAAAGTCCGCTTCAGTGAGAGCAGAATGTAAACATTCTCAAACAGGTATGTTTAAAATTCATGGTTTTTTTTTTTTCCTGTAGTCAAGGTAATCACAAGTCATCTGACGTCATTGCTCTAGAGTTGTTACTCGCCAAGATATTCTACAAGAGGGGTTTGCAAAGGTCTTGATCTTAAAAACAAAATAAAACTGCAAGATGCGAAATAATAAACACTGCGTCACGTTCGTGAAGCAGTCATGATTTTGTTCAAAACTCTGATTAGGTCAATATTGTAGGTTCCTTTTTCAATCGAATACTTCGAAAACTTGTAAACCTGCCCACAGACCAGAAGTTAGAATAAAAGACGCTGTTTACTTGACCTACATCGTGCAAGAACAAATACTGTTTCCCGTGGTGCAACATGAAACCAGCCAACATTTAACGTATTTGATTACGTTACCTCAGCGAGCGTTGCGAAAGAAGACCGACTGATGGAAGCAGGAGGAGCAAAAAGCCTTCTTGGAACGACTCGTGAAAGTGACCTCAAGGGAAGACGAAATGCCATGACGAGATTTCTAGAAGAGGAGAAAAAGAAACACCCCACTTAATGTATCCGTTAGAATGCAAAATTATAACTCAGCAAAGTCACTGCATGATGTTAAATTTCAGATGACTCGTCAAATCTCATAAGGTTAGAGCTCATAAGATGATTCGACAACCAGACATCGCATTTATTTTGTTTCCATTTATATGTAAACACGCCTCATTCGAAAACAACTCACGTTTAGCAAGTTTCAGTCAGATATGTAGAGTACAGGCACATTCGTTTTCAAATTTTCGGGCATCATACTATTGACTTCAAAATTATACAAACAATATATGTACGCTAAGAAAACACTAACAACGACAGGCTCTGAATACAGCTCATAATTAGATAACGAGCATTTGCGAAACACGGAACTATAATTAGAGAGCGTTCTCGCGCGAGATTCCCAAATCCCAACACGACGTTCGTAAAAATGCACCTTAACCAGGCACCTACAATCGTTCCCAACTAGGAGGCCACGCAATTAGGGTCTTTCACTCACCTTTCGATAGAAAAGCCACCGTGATCACCTGAGTCGATCGAACTTTCTCCGCGTTGGCCTAAGAAAACCGCACTTAACGAGTAGTGTCCAATATCTCCTCGGATCAAACACTCCCTCTGGGAGCCTGGGGAAAAGGTGTGTTGAAGTTCTTGAACGATAAAAGTTCAAAATTAATAGTTTACAGAAAGATATCGCACAGCGTTTTTATTACCTAATAGGATAATGGTTGCTGTGTTGGTTTCGCAAGAAAAATGGGGCAAGTTGAGGAAGAAAGTGTCCCTAAATGTGAGACGCTCACTTCATTCCTTAGCCCCCTCCCACAGACACACCTCTAGATGGTAATTTAGTGTTAACAACTGGGTTGAAAACGTAAATTAGCCACCGTAAAGGGTAAAAAAGCTGACGTTTCGAGCGTTAGCCCTTCGTCAGAGCGATTAATTTCAATAAAGAAACTGTGGTGCTGCGTCGGTGGGAGTGTATAGCAGGTAATTTAGTGTTAACAACTTTAGCCCAGCGTTAGCCCTTCGTCAGAGCGATTAATCGCTCTGACGAAGGGCTAACGCTCGAAACGTCAGCTTTTTTACCCTTTACGGTGGCTAATTTACGTTTTCAACCCAGTTGTTAACACTAAATTACCTGCTATACACTCCCACCGACGCAGCACCACAGTTTCTTTAGAAACTTACCCCTTTACACCTCTAGATGGTCAGCCAACCACGAGGCTTGAATGCACGTACGGCTGTCATTCTCGCTAAGCTTCAGTGAACACGCTGTTGGATTGTATGACTGCCTGTCGAGGCAGATCCTTCCAAACAATTCTTATGAATTGATTCACGTTTTAGTAAGACTTACTTATGCATTATTAATTACTAATCAAACTTTCTACTCTTCAAATACTCTCTCTTAGAGCTAATAGAATCATAAACCGTCACAAAGGAAACTTCACATGTAAAAACGCGTAAAATGTAAATTTAATGTCCTTTCAAGAGTACAGCGCAAGAAGCAGAAGCTTTTACTGTAATCTCTAGGATTTCTATGCAAGGCTTGTTCACATGCAGTCTTCGTGTGAGGGTGTCACGCATTTCTTACAGGCAGAGTTTCGTGACGAAGGGCTACCGCCGAAACGTCAGCTTTGAAACTCCTTGCGGTGAACACCACAGTTTCTCTAGAAAATTATCCCCTTTATTCATTTGTTCCTGACCCTACTTGTTATTTGTGTTCAGCTCACACAATCGCATTGAAAGCCTCCCAATCAATTCATCGCAAGCACGTTAAAAAAAAAGTTTGATGAGAGGAACTTCTAAGCTTTAAAAAAAAAGTAACAAAGAAACTGTTGGCAAAATATCACTTATGCCCTAGTTTTTAGATAAAAGGTACCTCTTCCGACGGATCTTTTAAATATTAAATAGAGAACTGCTAGTCTAGCCTATCTGAAAGGTCCAAGTAGGTTACAAAGACTAAACTATTTCCATCCTAATTGTTTTTCTCTTCAAAGTAGAAGTGATTACATGAAATGATATTTGTTTGAAATTACGGCAGATGTTAACCACCTAGTGCTGGCTGGCTGGGAATTCAGCAAATAATTTTTACAATAACGAAGGCAGAATTAAAAATAGGCAAAATTGCCAGGTGCCAAGCGCATTGTGATTAGGAGTCTTTAGCTGGTTCAGAGTCAAAAACAAATTACGTAACGAGTCTAACTAATATCCTTAGCTTCCCAATTTTGGCTAAGGAAACCTCTTGACCTACCTATCAGCTTAAACATGCACGTACTAATATTATTCTTGATCGGTGTCACTGCTTATGCAACAAGTCGCATTTCAAACAGGTTTCCCAGATTTCAAGCCGCTAATTTTGGCGAGATGATGGACGGGAAACAGCTCAACGGAAGCGTGATAAAGGAGGTAGAGGTGGAATCAGAAAGTTCTTGTAGATTGGAGTGTGTCAACGAAGAGCGATGTAAGTCTTACAACTTTGGAGGCAAAAAGAACAAACCTGAGGTATGGAAGTGCCAGATCAGTGACTCGGATCGATTTGAGAGGCCAGCTAAGGCCAACTTCATTGAGAACAAAGACTTCAGTTACAGAGGGATAAAGGTATTTGCAATGCATTTCAAAAGATTTTGACTACCACCTAGATATACGAACAAGTTCCTGAAAATGACAGTTAATGGTAAAAGAAAATAAGTTGATAAAATTTCAGAATTGCATCTAAGGAGGCTCTATAGTGTATTTTTCTCAATGTTGGCGAGCACGCCATCGTATTGTTATTGTAGAAAAGTTTTATGATTTTGTCTTTCAAGGTCACTAAAAGCCATCAAAAGGCGATGAGCAAGGTTCAGACGATCGTTTGCTGTAGCAAATTTTATCAAAATGATTTTCGTGATAAAGCTAAGGCTCCACGAAGGGAGGCGCTCGCCAGTTATAATTCTTCAACTTCGATGAAATCTTTCAAAATGTTCATGATTTGTGAAATTTGTCCTGCCGATCATTTAAAAGTTGGAGAAAAAGGGTAACAAATTAAATTAAATCAAATTTGGTCCTATGAATTTTTTTTATCAACAGGCACTAGGAAGGGCACAAACATGTTTAATGGTCCAACAAATCTTAGGAAATTCCATCTGAGGAAACGCCATAAATCGTGCTTAAAAGATCCCTAATTTCTCTGTCGCAAAACATTACGTAATGACGTCGCGTTTTGGCAATCTTTCCCACTGGGTTTTGTTTTCGGTTGACCTCTTTTTCAGGCGTATTGAGCCGCCACGCTATTTTGTCACTTTAAAGGCTCCCACTATTTGACTCCCACTATCTTGACTCTGATGATGACTTCCGCTCAGGTTGTCGAAACGTCAGTCACCACTACCGACAAAAGTCCTTCTCAGGACTACACTCACCCGGACGATCAAACTACACTATTACATGTTACCCCCGGGTTCAAACCATTTACTGTAAGGCTCCCACTATGTTCACACCCAGATCTCGCGCGATCAAAAAACCCTATGGAGCCTCCTTAAACGACAAATATAAAAAAAAACGCAAAATTGAAGCAGAAACGTTCTTTCAAGCATTTTCACAAAACATTAGAGAATCATAGAGAACTCTCTTTCATTACTAGCCACAAAGTTTAGTTAAGAAGTTTTTTTTTCCGATTGAAAGCTAGAGATTATCTCAGTTCGTCATAACATAAAACGACCTCGTAGATTGACAATGGCGCAATGGCGCTGCTATTTAACAAGTCGAGAGTAGTCTAGCGTGGTCTATACTCTTAGCGACAAAGATATTGGTCATCACATTGGTCAGAGAGCTGATAAAGCTATTGTGTGACAATAGACGCGAGCAGCCGACATCGACAAATTGGCCAATCAAATTGCGACATTGCTGCTAATTGTGGCAAAAAAATTTCAGTTTCCAAGCGTATTGTAGTAGATTGGCTAATTCTTTTGTTATCTGTATGGTTTAGACTAAAACAGTCACATATCAAGCTCTTTCCCCAGTGCGACGAACATTTGTTTTTTTCGGTTCCAGGTGTACGCAACCACTAACCCCACGTAGTGCGCATGCTCTCCTTTACGAATTTTTAAAATGGTGGACAAGCCCAAGAGGGAAATAAAAAAAAAAGCGATTTTGCAATGAATACTCAACATACACCCTCGTTAGAAAGGCGAATCTACGGAAGAAAGATACAAAACTGTATGATATTGAGATCGATATGATATTAAATCGATACCGAGGGCCCGTTTCCATCTTGCTAAGAAGTGCATTTAATTGCCTTCCGCCACGATTAATAGCTTTCTTGACAGCTTTCTGAAGACAGAATACTTTCTTTCTGAAGACTTCTGATATGCGGCTATTGATTATATTACACCTCGTATACCTGACTGTTCAAACACTTTGTTTACGATGGTTGAAAGGACCTACTCATGGTTCTCCGTCTTCGTCTTTACATTGCTTTGAAATAGTATAGATTAGTAAGCTGAAACGAAAAATTAATCAGAGAAGTTTACGAAAAATACAGCAAACAAGCTTAAAAAAGGCATTTATTTAGACTTCATACTTCAACGAACTTCACAAATCTTACTTGTTTATCTTGTAAGTAAACGATGGCAGATTAATTCCCGAAGCGCTTACTGAGTTTCCCGATCCCTTTCCAACTGCTTTCACACTTACAAAACAGGAAAAAATCAAAAAGAGGAAGATACAGCTGTTTTGAAACGCCATTTGACGAGGGTAAATCTGCTTTTTGTTCGACACTTTACATATCAAAACAAAGGAAATTTGTTCCTCTTTTTGATTCTGGTAGTACATTTTTAATTTGCGCCTGCGTAAAGGAGATATCGCCCGAGACCCTTCGCTCGGTCGTGTTTTGATCAAAAACGCCTTGTCAATTTCACGCAACCGCTCGGAGAAAAGGTAAAAATGACGAGGGAAAAACTTTACCTTCAAGTTAGAAAATTAGCGAAATAGAAAGCCACAATATTGTAGTTTGATATTTCAGAGGTACATTGAGTGCTTTTTCCGTAGAGAATCCGTACGATGCTAAAACATTCGAAAATTACACTCGATTTGAGTGGGGTGTTGAAGTGGGCGTGGTCACCACATTCATGTTGAGACTACTTGTACCCCATGAGTTTGATATGCTCCTCTGTGTCGTTGAAAGCGGGGGATATTTACCTCGTAGGCCACTGAGCGTCTCGCTAAATATCCACCACTATCCACCTCTACTTCAATAAACAATTGTTAATAATAACTTCATCATCATCACCAATATCATCGTCGGCATGATTGATATATTATCACCATCGTTATAAATTTTATTACTCTTACTAATATTATTATCATTATTGCTGTTGTTTAC